TTACCTACTGCAGCTTTAAGTAAGAGGTTTCTTGACGACCATTACATCCCTTTAACATCACCGGTAAAGAATTGTGTTGTATCACCTGGAAATGTAGTCCTAACTTGCATGTTTGTCATCAGACAGAAGCAGCTGTGAGTCTATTAGTCAGGTTGTAGTTGTATCAGGCCGTCACAGCTGCTGCTGCTGCTGCTGCTGTGGTTTGGCCTAGTCTGTGCCTCACCTCCCACAATGGCACATATTTACCAGTTTATCACACCTCTCAAGGTTTCTTATCTTTGTTTACAAGAACTCTGTAAACCCAGAGACACAGCCAGTCCCACTGTGGTAGGCTGCTGTCGTATAAATTGTCGAGTCAGCTCCCTCTGGCAACCATACACTATTCATGCACTCCAACCCTTTTGTTATTTGATCTGCTTTAAAAATCTTCACATCTTCACTGAATGGCATTATGCTGCAGACAAAATGCAGAAGTGGGAAAGACAGACATGGGTGATTATGGTTTCGAGCCCTAAAAACAGCTGACTCTGCAGGCCTAAAAGCATACGCTGCATTTAACCGCTTCAGATCAGATACATTTTTCAGAATCCTAGTGGCGTGGTTTTTCTCTTAAATGTGTAACCATCAAACTGTAGTTAATCTGGTTAGGTCATTTTAGCTGAAGCCGTAGTTCCTCCTGTAGCCCTCTTCCCTCCGTCCTCCCATCATTTCCTCGTCTCCTCCTTGAGCAGTCACTGTGGCATGTCTGGACAGGACAACAGAAGAGAGGGATTAGTAATATCAGGTGACATTTGGGAGTGTACTGTAAATGTCTCCCTCAGGGTCACCTCCTCCCCCCTCCATCAGACTGTCCCTCTGACAGCTCCAACCAGGGCTGCGCCCAGCCTCTGAAATTACACCCGCCAACAGATCAGATCCTTGTTATTAAATCTACTGACCAATTAACTGTTGTTGAACTGATAATATTTGCTTTTATGGCTCTCTTTGAAGTGAATGCTACTCTAATTATAGGCCAAGGCCCTGTGTGCAGGATAGTTATCAGGGTCATATTGATCCCTCTGGCTGTCTTTCGCAGCCATAAGTCATTGTACGAGCCTCATGACTGTAAAAGTATCTGCTGTGGAAGTTATGCTCAGCCAAAATAATTTAGTTTTAAACATAAAATGGAGATCAATTTAAAAGAGCCTTGAAATGGCTGAGATGTCAGTTCAAGGCTCACATTTTTGACAGTTTCCCATAATACAGTTTTCAGTCCAGTTTCACTCTGTGCACCAGCATTTATGATAATCATTTCTCTTTTTTTTTTATCATCATAAAATGTATTCCATGTCTGGAGAAGTGCTCAAACTAAGGTAAAACGTCCACCCATTTTGAAGGACTCGCCATTTTGATTACTACATATGTCCTCATAATTTACCATCGCATCATGAAACTGTAGTCAGAGTTATAAAACCACATCAGTGCATGTGCAGAAACATTTAGCTTCTCACCAATATGGGTTTGAGAGGTTCATAGCAACCATCTTGAATTCCTATTGGGGAATGGAAAAGGATTTTGAAGAGAATAAGAAGAGCCCTTTTATGTCTAAAGCAGTATTCAGGCCAGAAGAGACCAGAAGACGAGAGGAAGGACACAGATTCCAGATCCAGCCCATTACACATAATCCTTTCAAACAAAGACCCTTGTAAATGGAGGTGTGTAACATTTCCCTGCTACCCCCTTCAGCGAGGTGGTAGAGGGGGCACAAGGGCACACGGGGAACCGGAGCAGGCCCAGCAAGGCTAATCAGAGGCCAGTCTTTATCTGCGTGACTCCCTGCCCACTACTGGATGCTTCCCAGGAAAGACGGTGTTGAAATGTAAACCCGGGCATTAAATCCAGCGCAGCAGCATCAGGACTGAGCGAGCCAGAGTCAGAGAAAAAGTGAGGCTAAGAGGGAAGAGAAAGGGAAGGAGGGAGTGAAAGGTGATCGACTGACTGAACTGAACCTCGGCTCCTGCTACAGAGAGGGCTTTCATGGCCCAGACTGTTCCCATAGCCCCGACTGCCGAGCACAGAAAATGGATCTACTTGGACTCGGTAGCCGAGTCCCAGGACCCTGTTAGTTCTTTGTCCGGAGGCAGCTTGACTGAATAGTTCTTATGACTGATCGCATAGTCGCTAATAAACCCCAAGAGCACGGTGGTCTTTACAGTCCCACAGCACTTCTGTGACAATGATGTATAGATCTGTCTGAACAGGAGGGGAGGATTGGACAGACCTCACAGCTAAGATGTAAAGCTGCAATATACATAAATTATAGCCTGTACTTA